CTTTTCAGAGTAATGTTCAGCGAAAGTGTGATCAACCGGCCATACATCTGTGTCTGAGGGGCGTTTTATGCTATTGCATGTGATGATTTTTTTTTTTTTAATTTTTATTAGGTTCACGTATGAATTTGTTTCAGAAATGGAAAGTTGGGAAGTGATTCTGTTTATCTTACCAAATCTGAGCTAATGAGGTATTCAACAAATTCATGGCATCCTGCTCTTCTCTTTCCCCTCCTTCTTTCCCCTTTTGCCGAAGCAGAAATTGCCAGTGCCATTTGGGTTTCTCTTCATAAAAATCTCCGAGGCTCTCATAAGGGCGATAAAGGGAACGACATCCTTATGCTCGGAAACCATATGCGGCGTTTCGTTTTCTTGAGGTGCATGTAGCTAAGAACAATTTCGGTGATCATTTGGAATTTGCCCTCGAATCTTACCAAGAAGTTGTAGCCAACTTGGATTTTCGATGCCATAACAGTTCCGCAGCTGACTAAGCCTCAACGTGGGGCGCTGGATGGATGTAATCAATTGTACCGAACCTCTTCGTTCTCACCATTTCATCTCCCTAGCAAATCTCAGGTGGACCAAGACTTATTATCTCACCTATGCATATTTCGCATTCCCTCCAGCCAGGCACCGAAAGGAGGATTAGGGAAGGGTTACTTTCCCTTTCTCTTTTAATATTTTTTTTATCCATTACTTCTTTTCGCTAGCATCATCATTATTATTATTTTTTTTATTCTTTTTTAAATTAAAAAAACTTAGACACTTAAAATTATCCCCAAAAAAAAAAAAAGTGTTCAATTTAAAACATTAAACCCTGATGTTAGGAATTGTTTTAGTCTACTTAATTGTTTTTATTTTATAATTTAATACATTTTAATTTGTAAAACATAAAATTTTAAAATTATGTGTGTATTATAAAAAATGAAAAAAAAAAAAAAAAACACTTCTCTATTAGATTGAATTAAGAGATCTCTAATATTAAAAGAGAATTCTCTATTTAGTAATTGATATTTAATAATTTAGTACAATTTAATTATAAAATATAAGACTTATAATAATATTACTAAATAGATAGTTTATGTTTTTGTCCTTGCATTATTATTATTTTTTTTTTTGGTTTCTCGTCCGGTATCCGGAGTTTCGTCCCGATTAATCCGGACACGACCCTGTCGCGCACTTGAAAATGGTGGGTGAGTCTCCCAGCGAGGGCTGCTGCATATACAAAAACTCAAACTCGAAATTTTGTTTAAACTGAAACAAGTCGCTTACCCTTGATCCAACCCCTCGTTGGTTTTTGTCCTTGCATTATTGTAATAGGGGTGGCCACCTCCTTTGACTCCGTTACTTTGGCATAATAAAATTTAAAAGTAACAGCGCGAGTTAATTATTTAAGTAATTTAATAATAATTTTTTTATTAAAAATAAAAAATTATAAATTTAAATCATATGATATACGAGTGATATGAAGTAAAAAAATAAAAAATAAAAAATAATTATTTTTATTATGCAATCTATATAAAAAAATAAAATAAAGTGTAGCAGCGTGGAAAACTGCAAAATGACTGAGTTGATTCAATTCTGATCATCTTCTACCATTAATTAATTCCGTAAAGCAAAAACTCTGTAAAATTCCCCCCACCAATTGCGGAAATGTCGTTACATGTAGGAATTCTACGTCAACTTAATCGTCCGTACGTACTTAGGTCTTTTTTTTTTTTTGGTACAACTTAGGTCTATTATTCATTGCAGAATGTTCAAACTTAAACGAGCAAATTTGAACTACGGACTTCCTTTCCCTGGTCTTCTTTAAAACATCACCCATGTGGATGGACTGTTCTACGTATTATGAATTTTATAATATAATAATGTGATTTAAATAAATGAATATATTAATTAGGGATATAATTTATTTATACATAAATTTTATACATTATATTTCTATAAAATCTTTATCATTTATGCTTTTAGTTTTAATAATTAAAATTTATTTTTTTATCATATTTATTAAAATAATTATTTTTTATTTAAAAAGTCATAACAAATTTTAATCATTAAAAGTCAAAAGATGAATGATTAAAATTTTGTATAAATATAGTGTATAGGATTTTTATGTAAATGAATCTCTCCTCTATTAATTAATAGAGAAAAATACTTATCAATTATGCAAATAATTAGCTAAAAATATTTTAAAACTATATTATTTTAATAAATTTACACTAAAAAAATGAAAATTCCTAATTTTA